AGGTGACATATCATGAAAATTTGACTTTTCCAGGTTTTAAGTGCTATAATCAGGTCCCAGGTGCATCTACCAACCAAGGAAACGTGAAAAAGATTAACCCAGTAACTTTGTTTTGGTAAGCCTTTTTCTGCAGGCATCTGAGAAAACGAGCGCGTCTGATTTCGCTCCCTTGGTGACGTGGCAAAGGGATCTCATTATAATATTACCGCTCCTTAATCTGTAAGTTTCCACCCATGGCGTCGTTATTGTGTTTTGCAAGCGACAACGGTGTACCTGTTGCTAACTGCTAACTGTTCTGTCATTGGCTCCACAGACGAGCACAGAACACTATTTACAGTCCCAGCCTCAGAGGAGACAAGAGAGCAGTGGATTTATTGATAACGTAAACTTGTGTGAATGAGAACTTAGTTTAGTACTCACATGCTGTGACAGCCGATTTCTGTCCGTGTGCTTCGGATGTGTGCTATGATCTGTAGAGTATTTTGAGCTGAAATTTCACAGACACATTCTGGGGAATCAGGGTAAATCCGGGTATCTTCCGTAGAATCGTTTTTTAATTTAATGTTGAAATCTGAAAAATGAAAAACGGAACATATTTAGTTTTTCAATTGTTCAAACAAAACGAAAAATCAAGAATCTGGCTTCATTTTTCGTTTTTACGTTCAGGGATAGAAAACGAATCAACAACTTGAATATTCGATCTCTACATGTGGGCAAGAATGAAACGCCCCTCTCCGCTGATTGGTCAACCAAATATCACAACATAATAATAGTCTTAAAAGAAAACAAAAAAAAAAACATGATAATAGTCCTCCGCTTCTATTGATTCTAAACATGTTTATTTCTACTACATTTTATCTCTTTCTCTTCATCAAACAGCCAAATTAATGAATGGCTTGACACAAACCATACAGAGGCAGAGCCTTTTGGCCCTTAAGCACACCGCCTGTTTTATTATAGCTAACCACCTATTAAAATCTGTGTGGCAAAACTGCGCGACGCACTGCAGCGTGGGGAGAATGTATTGTAGTGAAGCGCAGACCACTATCAATTTATGTGAACATACAGTCATAACTTTTGTTTTAGACAATATGCTGTGTTTTAGACAAAGGAGGAACTTAAATAATATGACAGATATGAAAATAAATGACTTTGTGTGATTTACCTTCACAGCACATCTATTATTTTTCTTTTTTTGAGTTCATAGAGCTCTTTCTACAAATTAAGGAAATCATACAGTATGTTGTTATCCCACTGGCATGTGACTATTTGTTCCTCAGATTGAATTTAGTGAAATGTGAATTTGACGTCATGATTTGAAAGTGAACTCGTTTGAGTTATAACATATCCAAACCCTGAAATAACACTTCGAACAATAAGCCAGTGTCATCAGTGTCAGAAATTAACTTTCCCATAAGGGGCAATTGATTTTCAGTTTTTTATTTATGTTTTACATTTTTTTTTACCTTTTACCTTTTGTATGTCATCTTTAATGTTAAATTCTTACATCAAATAAATTAGAATAATATGACAATAGGCTGTTACCACCAGTATTCAGTGATATAGAACCTGCGTCTGAAGATGCTTTTAGATGTATTTACAGTTTAATGCTGATCAGACGGCTGTACGTGCATTTACACAGCAATTACAAATGTATAATGAAATGAGATTAATGTTTTATACAACATTTTAATACAGAAATATGAATAAAATGAAATTATACTTGAATTATGAAAGTAATATCGCCACTAGGTGGCGGTGAGTCATTCTGTTAATAACGGAGCCTTTTATTCAATCAATTCGTTCAAAATGCTTCATTCATTTATTTAGGAATAAAATCAAGCGGCTGTCTATAATAATTGGTAATTGCATTGCTGTCTATAATAATGGGTTTTTCAAAGACTCTGATTCATTTAGGAATGATACACCACTCTACTGCGAGTCAGTCACACAACGGTTCTGTGACTTTGGTTTAGTTGGCAGAGAAAATAACAATTTTGTATGCCATCAGTTAGCTGGCCAATACTCAATATTAATTAAATAAACTCATTTTATTGTCTAAAACTACCTGTGTTCACATAAATTATAGTGGTCTGCACTTGTCTACAAAACATTCTTCCCACGCTGCAGTGCATCGTGCAGCTTTGCCACACAGATTATAATAGGTGGTTAGCTATAATAATTCAGGCGGTGTGCCAAAGATGCAGACTAGTAGGTAGTTGTGAGTGCAGGTGCGAAGTAAAGTAATATTTATGAGATAAACTAATATTTCATTGGTAGGTTGCATAATTTATGCCTACACAAAAGAAAGCTCTGTCTAGGTTGACTCTGCCTCGATACGGTTTGTGTCAAGCCATTCGTTAATCTGGCTGTTTGATGAAGAGAAAGAGATAAAATGTAGTAGAAATAAACACTTTAAGAATCAATAGAAGCGGAGGACTCTTATTATGTTTTTAGGACTATTATTATGTTGTAATGTTTGGTTGACCAATCAGCGGAGAGGGGCGTTTCATTCCCGCCCACATGTAGAGATTGAATATTCAAGTTGCTTATTCGTTTTCTATCCCTGAAAGTAAAAACGAAAAATGAAGCCAAATTCTTGATTTTTCTGTTTTGTTTGAACAAATGAAAAACGAAAAATGTGCTGTTTTTTCATTTTTCAGATTTCAATATTAAATTAAAAAACGATTGGACGGAAGATACGCTGATTCTGGGGACACCAGAGACTTATATTACACATTGTAAAAAGGGGCATAATATGTTTCCTTTAAGTGTCATTCACAAATTAAATGTATTATTAAATATTCTGAAATAAAGCTTTTTTATTGCAAAATACTATTTTTCCCATGACAATAGACAAAAACATGTTCACACACACGCACACACACACACACACACATGGCAATTACAAACCACCAAGATCGCGATTACAAAAATAGGATGATAAAGTTATATTTTCTGTATGACCTTTGATGTAATATGTAAATACGTTTAATAAGATGTTTAATATTTAACAGGATTATGCATAATTAGAATTGTGAACGCTTGAATGCGTACATGTTTTTAGCTTTTAGTTAAAAAAAAAACAGCTTTGCACCTCCCCTAAATGAGAAAGCGCTCCGCATGGTTCCACGCTGTTCTACACCACCTAGAGGATTCTTCACTGATTCTGAACAAAAACCAATGATTTCACGAAGCCTCGCAAAAAAAAAAAAAAAAAACTAAGCTAATTTGCATTAAATTAAATTGCATTAATTATTCCTATTCAAATAAACATTAAGCCAGTCTTTGTCAGTCTTTGTCAGTAGAGCGATTTCTTTTGGTGACCACCGGAGTCGTGCGCGTAAAAGTCTCCAGTTACGCACGGAGACAAGAGGTTTCCAGTCAATCCCAGTATCTTCAAATTAAGGTTATAGCAATTATTTTAATGTATTGCATTCTCAAGCTCATTTAAAAAGCGAAGTCAAGACTGTCAGTCCTACCTGGTGTGCCAAAACAGCGTCAACACGAAGATGAGAAGATGAAACGCGAACCTCTCCCTCATTTCTGCCACCCAAACCTGTGTAGAAGAAGACAATTCCTCAAATCAGGTGAAGAAACTGGGATTTGTTTTAGTAAAATACTGCCAATCACACACTATGATGACGGGGTAAGTTGATCTATAGGCGCACACGGTTCCGTGCGATCCACCTGCTGATCTTAGATGATGGATCCCAGACATTTCATTAATATTTACAGAGTGCAACAATTCATGATATGAATATGAATATCCCTTACTAACATTTCAAATCGTAAGATGAGAAAACCATGACCAAGTGACCACAGCTGGCGCTGTGATGATGATTTCCACTTAAATGGCAACATATGGCTGAGTATCATTTACACACATGGCCAGAAACACAATATCCACAACGGAGCTGTACTTTATAGAGAGGACACCCACCTGTGATCCACCAGATCCGCTTTGTCCTTATGGATAAATGCTGATAAATAACAACCGGAATGTGAAAGTTTATTCCCAGCCGATGAAACCGGATCACGAGTGTTATTCAAGAGCACGCACGTGGATCGGAAACGAGCATAAATGAATTCCCATAATAATTCACTATAAAACCAGATGCATATGAGCATCACTGAGGGTCTCTGATCCTCAGCCTCGTCTCTCTCTCTCTAACTAACGCACCGACGCGCCTTGACGCGTCGTGATCTCAGATGTTCTTTACTGAATATCATACTGCTCACTGTTTATTTTTTTCTCCTGAAAGAAAGAAAGGGGGGATAAGTACAAAGAAATAGACAGATAGAGAACTGGGTCCTAAAGGCAGTTATATTAGGGCGCTGATCGCTCGCGCGCGCTCTCTCGTACACACATACACATCACATAATGACACGTTGTGTGATGGTGTACATTTATTAGCAGTAGCTATCACGTTTTTTTATTATTAGTATAGATTAGAATAGAATACAAATTATTTACTCACCATCATGTTGTTCCAAATTTGTCAGTTTTCTTGTGTCTGAGGAACACAGAGGACATTTAAAAAATGATTTCCATTTATCATTATATTGCACCATTATTCTAGGTGAAAAGTGTTCATAAAACACAGTGGAATAGATCACCACAAATTGAAAATTTGCTAGAAACGTACTCACTCTCATGCAGGCCATTCAAGATGCAGATGAGTTTGCTTTTCCATCAGAACAGATTTGGAGAAATTTAGCATTACATCACTTGCTCACCAATGGATCCTCTGCAGTGAATGGGTGCCGTCAGAATGAGAGACAAACAACTGATAAAAACATCACAATAATCCACAAGTAATCCACACGACTCCAGTCTATCCATCATCTTGTGAAGTGAAAAGCTGTGTGTTTGTAAGAAACAAATCCATCATTAGAGCAACTTCAAACCATCATTTCTGGCCTCAATACAGGTCCATAATCCATAATATTGCTTTCTCCAAGTCATCTCATCTGAATCAGGAGATAAATATGTACAGATCAAGCACCATTTCCTCATTTTGACATGAGAGGACAACAGGAGATGGACCTTTTCACTGGCGGAAGCGATATTATGGATTATGGACTGGTATTTTAGCCAGAAGCCACGTTTTGAAGTTAATTTTTTTCTTACTTCTTTTTCTTACTTGTGGATTATTGTGATGTTTTTATTAGCTGTTTGGACTCTCATTCTGACGGGACCCATTCACTGCAGAGGATCCATTGCTGAGAAACTGATGAAATTGCTGAATTTCTCCAAACCTGTTCTGATGAAGAAACAAGCTCTACATCTTGTCAAGTCACATCTTCCACAGATTGTTCTCCTGTGGACCACAAACAAAGTAATTGTGAAAGTGTCAAAGCTGCTTTTTAAAAACAATGAAAATGCATGGTGATCACTGGCTGTCAAGTTAAGTTGCAATTTTCTTGGTGTATTTAAATAAACAAAATACCCAAAGGTATACAGCGTGAAACAAATCATAAATGTAAACAATGCTTGCCTTATGAATAATAATGCATTTGCATAGTTGCAGAAACGTTAATGCCCTGCGCATTACAGCATTAACTGGAATGATAAACATCCTCACAGATGGACGAGCGGTTATTAAAACTGGTCACCTTCTGTGCTTGTCCAATCAATTGTTTAAACCCCATAAATATGCAAATAAGAATGATTACCCAGCTTTTACAAATGAAATCCTGAAACCTGATAACCCAGGATTAATTACTACATCAGGTCACAAGTCACTGGCCATCTGTCTGTTAAACAGAGGTCTAAGATCAGGTCTTTTAGTTATGCATTATTAATGCTGAATAAAATGATTTCCACATGAAACACATCCTTTATCCAAGCTCTCTCTCTCCAGAATATTTGATGTCCCCCTGTGATATCAATAACAGGGGGTATCACAGTAAAAACAGTGCATATGTATGTGTGTGGGCGCATGTTGCATCACATAACCAGACACAAACTTTATCTTAATCTAGGAAATTTGCAATAAACATAATGCCGTTCAATAACATTTTATGACCCTATCTGCCTTGTAATGTTTATTTATGCTGGGGTGGCATTCATACATAAATAATCCAACAGACACAATGAGATCCTGCAATGCTAATATAAAAATAGGAGACAGCCAATAACTTTTCCCAGCATCGCCTATAGGGTCTTTAAAAAACCAAATGAACAAATCTCACTATCTGTCAGTCCAGATATTCTTCTGTCAGTCCAGATATACTTCTCTTAAAAGCATTTTATTTAGAAACCTGTATTAGCTATTGATCAGGTCCAGATGATGAATTTGTAATTGCTCCCATGTCCCCTCCAGATTCTGCATAAATATTTAAAGCAAAAAGGCAGCCGTGTTGGCCTGCGGCCCCAAGAAGACAAATGAGAGTGTAATGCTAAATGCCAAAGCATGTTTGCCAATGCAAATACACATTCTACACAGTATAAGAGGAGTAGCATTTCATGCAACACGGTGTTGCTTTGAAAAAAGAGTTTCTAAGTGTTTCAGGTGATGTTGTCAAAGGCATGGGTTTGCTTTCAGTCCATCTTAAATGTTACATTTAATTATTCTTCAATATGCCAATTATTTTGTGGAGTCCATTCCTTATAACATCGTTCTGACCTTCAAAAAGAAGCTTTTTTGCTGCTCTTGGTGACATTTGCTATTGTTCTCAATAACATACTTCTGTTTCTGCAGTAGATGCTTAATGTGCAAATTTTCCATATGCATGATATACCCAGGTGACCTAAAATGTTCATGTGTCCCACTATGCAATGCAATGAGTTTTACCTTACATTTCCAGTGTGATGAATGAACCAGAAGTAATCATCACCACATTGGAAATGTCAGCCAAAAATGTGTAATATCGGATTCTTGACTCTTTCCCCCCCCAGAGAGTTAAAGACATTTTCACACAAAATTGGATCAGAAAGGCCAAAAAAAATTTATTTTTTTATTCTAGAGATGATAAAATATGCAAGTAGTAACATAATGTGCCCACAATCAAGCATGATACACATGCTACAGTTTCTTTTATTCATGTATATAGCATACTGTTTTTACATATTAGGCAGCAGGGTCATTTCTAGCTTTTCATCATTTTCATAATTTGGATACTGTTATGGATATTAGCAGGGACGTGCACAGACATTTGGAGGCACAGGAGCTCAAGTGGAAAAAGGGCACTTCTCATAATTATTTTTATTTTTATTTATTTATTGATTTTTTCCTAAAAAGTTCTCTCTTGTGTTTTGCTGTTGTTATAATTACACTTACTGTACCATGCACACACACTGATGGTGACTAGAACTTTGTTTCACATTTGAGGGAGGGCTGTTAAGATCTATCAGCATACAACATACTAATATAATGGATAGTAATTAGATGAGGAGCCTGAGAACAAAATCATGAAGTTATTGTTTAAGGCAGGACACTTCATGTACTGTTCAATTTCGAGATTTTGGGCTATTTTGCTTCCATATCTTCTTTTGCCCTAATGGAAAGGAAATATCCAAAATACACATTAAGGTGGTTATTTTAAGCCTACTACCCTCGTCTGCTTTTTTAATTTTTGTTTTTTTAATTTTTTTCTAAATTAACCAAAACAAGCTATCTGCATATTTAAACATAACATTTCAAGGGAAAAGACTCTTGATGTAAATCATTAACTATAATAACTGGGGAAGTTCTGTGGTGATATGCTTTAGTTATTTTGTTTATCCTATTTATCTGCAATGCATTGTCTCAAATGTATGCAAATTAGCACATTTTAATTAGTTAACACCTGATTTGAATATCAATGTGGCGAATCTGATGACGTTATTAATTTTACTGTATTCAGCTGTCGTTTCTCCATTAAGTTAGCATATATGCCCATGATATATTGCCTTACCTAAACTTAAGCTAACTACTGATGGTGACAAGAACTTTGTTTCACATTTGAGGGAGGGCTGTTAAGATCTATCAGCATACAACATACTAATATAATGGATAGTAATTAGATGAGGAGCCTGAGAACAAAATCATGAAGTTATTGTTTAAGGCAGGACACTTCATGTACTGTTCAATTTTGAGATTTTGGTCTATTTTGCTTCCATGTCTTCTTTTGCTCTAATGGAAAGGAAATTTCCAAAATACACATTAAGGTGTTTGTTTTAAACCTGTTACCCTCGTCTGTTTGTTTCTGTAGATTTCTTCTAGATTCTAAATTAACCAAAACAAGCTATCTGCATATTTAAACATAACATTTCAAGGGAAAAGACTCTTGATGTAAATCATTAACTATAATAACTGGGGAAGTTCTGTGGTGATATGCTTTAGTTATTTTGTTTATCCTATTTATCTGCAATGCATTGTCTCAAATGTATGCAAATTAGCACATTTTAATTAGTTAACACCTGATTTGAATATCAATGTGGCGAATCTGATGACGTTATTAATTTTACTGTATTCAGCTGTCGTTTCTCCATTAAGTTAGCATATATGCCCATGATATATTGCCTTACCTAAACTTAAGCTAACTTATTACATGGTAGGTCATGAGTCATGGATGTTAGCAAGACAAATTAATTATATTTGCCTTTTGGATAATTAGCTGTAAATTCGAGGCACATGCAGCTTAGTCTTTTGTTCATCACCACTCACCTCCACACCAAGACAAACACAACTGGAAAGGGAGGGAGGGCTTCACTTCTGCGGCTCTCTGGCTGTCTGTGACGTGCCGATGTGTGCTACACTGCTGTGCTGCGCGGAGATGCGGAGGGGAGAAAGGCATCGGAACTCGACAGAGTCTCAACATTTCCCGACATTTTTTATTTGTTTGTCAGGGAAAGCTGTGTGCAAACAGAAACACACACACGGACACATATATACATATATTCATTTATTTAAAAAAAATTTTAATAATAAAAAAACAAAAAATAGAAAAACTCCCTAGAAAAAGGGCAGGTGCCGCAAGCCCCATTTGATGTGCACATGCCTGGATATTAGAATATCATTTTTTTTACCTGCAGTAGCCTAAAGTCGTTCACAAGCTGAATGTGCAATAAAGATCTGCTTCATTGCTGACAAATGACAGAAGACATTTTGTTTTCTAAAATGAATTGTAGGTAAATATTAACCTTATCTAGTGCTCTTTGTGTTTTCTGTCTTATAAACTATCCT